GCTGCCAGGAGAGCTGAGAAATGCCCTTCCTGTTAGAAACCAAGGGACTCACTTCCTTCAGAGACCTGTCTTTCTCTGGGTCATCCAATTATCCTCACCCAGAAGAGTCATCACCCAGACATCGTGCACACTTGACATTGGAGGAATTTTAGAGGTCACCCAGTCGGGTTCACACGCTGGATTCCCCAAGGAAAAACCCTTGGAAAGATGGAGATGGACCCTCAGCCTGGATTCCCTCAGCTCTGTGACCTGACCTTGGGTGGGTTACTTCGCTCTGAGGTTTGCTTTTCTCAGCAAATAATGAGCCCCATCTTGGAGATGAGACGTCTCTGGAGGGAGGCGCTAATACAGTAAGCGGCACAAGGTAGGCACTCAGCAAATGTGAATTTCCATCTATTATTATTATTATTATTATTATTATTATTATTATTATTATTACCCAAATGAGTTTATTTTAAACTTCAGGTCATACAGATGAGAAGATTCTTCCTCATATGGAAAATGTTCATCTTTGGACCCTTCACCTGTATTGTGTCATTCTTCCTGGGAAGGGGAGCTAGTAGGCGTCACTCACGTTTTATATGTAAGCACATGGAGTCTCAGAGAGGGTACCCTGGTCTCCTTCCCTCATGCTAGTGGGCACATCCCCTTAATCCTGCTCCATGTTTTATTCGCCCATAGCACTGACCATTTCCTAACCTATACAATTACTACATTTACTGCTTCCTGTCTGTCTCTGCTCACTAGAATCTGAGCTTGGTGAGGACAGTCGACGGGTCTGCTTATTTCCTATATGAGCCTGAGGGCCCAGGACAGTGCCCAGCACCTAGTAGACAATCAATATTTGATGAGCGAGCTGATCAAGCATATGCCATTAGAAAGGGACAATGAAGGGCTCAAACCCGACTCCTATCTCTACATTCCATTTGCCAACTAGCAGGTGTGTGATATTGATCAGTAGTAAAGAGTATTTGAGTTGATCAGGATGGAGAGACGACAGGGAGGAAGGAAACCGAGGAAGAAGGGATGAGGAAAGAAAGAGGTGAGGGAAGGGGAGAGGGAGAGAAAGTGAGAGTTTAGGAAGGTGCCGCATGGGGAGAACACATGTGCTCTGTCCTCTAGTATACAAAGCGGGGAGCATCACCTACATGTCACACCTGCAGAGCTGCTTTGTGGTAAGGTCCCATAGTAGATGGTGGACAACCAGGTGTCTGCCCCAGCTCCCTCGCCAATTAGGCACCGCCCCTGCCAGGTTTCAGCTCACAGGATCCTTTTCAGAATGTCACCACGATACTAGAGGCTTCCTACTCAGCTCTAGGCACAGCCCACAGTGGCAAGAGGACAAAGGTGTTTTTTTAACTTACAAACCCCAAGGTCTCACTGCTCTGGGTGTGGGTCTTGCTCAGGACTGGCCTGAGACAGGTGTCATCATCTGCCAGGACAGACACAAAGCAGCCATCTTTAGGGCTTTTTAGGATCTCTCTGTGTACTACTTAGAAGAAAAGACCCTGTGGGAGGTCTGGCCAGGAAAGGGGTGGGATTGTTATCCGGAAGCGACACCGAAGTTATAGGGAAAATGGAAATTGGAGTTTAAGCCATTTTGATTCTACACAAGCAGCTTTCCGGAAAGGAAAGCTCCCGTACCATAACCCCAAACCCAAATTCGGTTCCCAGAAACCTTTATTTTTAGTAGTTATGGAGAATTCTTGTGCCCAAACCACTGTGGGAATATTTCCTGTCTTCCTTGAGTCAGCAGGCGTGAGACCAGGAGACCTTGCCTCCTGCAGCAGAGGAGCTTCTATTGCCCCTGTGCACGGCTCTCTGCCCCATGGCTACACACCGTGGGCCTCCGGGGCCACTTCCTGGTGCAGCCGATCCCTGTATTCCAGGTAGTCACCCCAGACAATGAATTAGCGAGTTCTGAACCATAGCTTTAGGGGCAACGCAGGGTTAGGGTCCTTTGAGCTTCTAGACACATTTTCATCCATCAGTTAACATATAACCTTGTTTTAGGCATGTTTCTGTGTAAAGACACCTTATCTAATAGATATTGGTGATTCGCATTGAACTCGCAGCCAACAGCACTAAAACTGATGCCCGAACAAGGCTTATTGAACACGTATTTCCTCCATAAGGCATGCCACAGCCTGCCTGTGCTTGGAACACGAGACAGCACGTCAGCACTCCACTTCAGGGCCATTTTAAACACCCAGCTCACCAAAGGAAAGCACAGAAATGTGAAAAATGTGACAGTCACTAGAGCATGAAGAGTACACTTGTTTACAGCCCGAGAGCTGAAACAAGAAGTCAGTGTCACCTGGGAATTTGCACCTGGGGTGACTCAAACTTTTTGTTGCTCTGCATGACTTCAAAGGACCATGAAAGCACCACGAGTACTGCCTCTGACTTACAAATAAACGTTAGCAAGGTAGGCGAATTCACAAATGGGGGATTTGTGAATAATGAGGACTGAGTGTAGCTGTGGGAAGTGGTCGGCAGTGCTGTGCGTTTCTTGGGAGAAGAGGCTCAGGTCAGCGTGCCAGGGAGCTCTAATCAGCAGTGCATCAGCCCCTGCCCACCAGATACCCAGCAGGACAGTCTTTTGTGAAACCTCTGCGGCCTAAGCAATACCCCATACTGTCACATCATAATCAAATTACCCCACGTTCATTCTATATTGGGCCTCTCACATGAACAATCAGATGAGTTGCTTTGTTCAATAAATGCCAAGATAGTTTCTCATTCTTATGGTTTTCTCTTTGTGTTTATTTTTCTAGACCAAGGGCATTCATAATTTTGGGGGGGCGTTGGGTTCTCATTTGCCAGCACTTCAATCCTATGATAAGAGAATGTTAAAATGTCACTCAGGCTGTCTGGGACTCAGTTCGCAGGGCCCAAAGCTTAGAGCAGCACAATTGATGCCAAGTACCCCCACATCCTGAGCAGGGCATGTGGAGAGATTGGAAAGCCTCTTCCGCAAGCACTTGCCCTTCACCCACTTCCAGGCATAAGGGATGGGGAGGGCAGGTAGAAGGAGGTTTCTGTGACAGGATTGTCAGGGTGCTATGCTCCACACTCTGTCTCCTGGGTGCGTGGACTTTAAGTCAAGTGAGTGGGCCCTGAAGGGATCGCCCGGGGAATCCAGCATATGCCCATTGGCATCTGGGCACAGAGAAACACGTGTCTTATCAGTGTCAGGGGATGCCAAAGAGGAATGGCCGTGGCTGACACTACTCCTGTCTGATTAAACAGAGCAAAGGTGAGTGTTCTCCAGGGACTGGACGCAGACTTGGTAAAAGGAACCAGGAAGGGACAGTGTCATCTCAAGAGAGGGGTGGGCCATCCGAAGTCTAAAGTGTGAGGCAAGAGGTCTTGCCTGTGCTTAGAAAGCTGCTCTCAGAGGTGTGCTGGTGCCAGTGGTGTGTGTGTTTGTGTGTGTGTGGTGAGTCCGCAAAGACTCTGCAGAAGTGTCTATAAGGGCAAAACCCAGAAAATGTGTGCCTTCCTTCCATCCAGAGGGACCAGCACATATGACCACATATCAGCCCATAGAGACACTTTCCTTTTCCCTAATCCGCTCACCCTCTGGGCCATGCCTGGACTATTCAGAAACAGCTTCCCAGGAGAGGCAGAGACCACACATCCAGCCAGAAGCAAGCTTGCATTGGGTGAGGAATTCACAATGTTTTGATTATTGTACTTTAGTCCACTGGAATTAAGTATTAGATTGGACTTAATATTTTGATGCCCAAACCTAGAAATTATGTGTTTATTATCTCAAAATGTAATTTAAAGGGCCGGCCGAGTGGCTCAGTTGGTTAAGAGCTCACCCTAGAGTTTGAGCTCTGAGCAACAGGGTTGCCGGTTCAATTCCCAGCCCAAGCTGAGCTTCCGCTGAGATGCCAACAGGTGGCAGGATGGCTCAGCTAAAAAAAAATAAAAATAAATAAAAATAAAAAATGTAATTTAAAAACAGAAAGTCCCATCTGTGATTTCATCCAGGAATTGGAGAAAAAGTTGGTATTCAAGGGACAGTGGGGAAAAGAATTAAATCGGTCTTCTAGCACTCTATCAACTTCAGTCAATAATCAAGCTTTATCATCTGTTATTGTAGTTCCTCTTCCGGACTTTCTACAGCCACAGGAAGTCTTGTGAACTGAGACACATACTGCAAAGTACAGGGCAGGAAAAGCAGGGAAGTCCTACATGAAGAGATATGCTTTTCAGTGCTTCTCATGAGAGCCTTTGAAAAGACCTGGTCAGCTCTGATGACCAAGCTAGTCAGGGCTGTATTCCCTCTGAGGGAACCACCCCAGCTGTAATAATTAAACACATGTAGTGTAATAACTCACAGAATATTAAAATTGGAGGGGATTCATAGGGAATCAAAAACAACATGACAACAGCGCTGAATTGGGAGGACGTAGGAAAGAGTAGGAGCCAGGATTATTTTGGGGAAAACCTATAAAATCAGGCATCCATTCAACCTGGGTTAGTGATGGTGCATGAGGAGCGATACCCTAATATCCTAGTTGTTCTGTTAGAGCCTTATAAGTCCCTCCCCCAAGAAGACAGACAACCCAACATCTGTCCCTTTTCTTTTGTATCTCAGTACAGGACGTTCTTAGAGGCTAAATTTGGTTCCTCACCATTGTGACCAAACAGCCATCCCCCATTCCAGGACTTCACATCTGAGCCTTGGTTTCCTCACAGTGACACTCTGCATCGGATAGTTACCCTAATGGCACCACGAAACAATACGTGTTAAGACATACCATAAACTGCGAAGTACTATAGCAAAGAGAGCGATCCCTTTTTCCGGCAACTGTGCAGTTGTGATAACAGTATTTTTAGACAAATATACCTGGAAATATGATCTGTCTCTGCCAACTCGAAGGCAGGGCACAATGACAAGCAGGAATTCTGCTTCACTGCTCCCCCTCATCTTCTGCCTCTGATTTACATCTGGCGTTGGATACAATAGTTTTCACTTGCCTGGGACTTCCATGAAATGGCCACTTCATGTATTGCAACTCTCCTGCAGTGGGTGGAGCCACTCCCTTTGACGTTTCATTGTTGATGGCAAGTGCAGAGCGCCTTGGAAGACTCTTTGGTAACCGATTCCTGGGGAGGGTTGAGAAATGAAGTATTAGTTTGGACCTAATCCCTGTGGCTCAGTCAGCCATGACGACGGACGGTGTATGGTCACATAACCCGTAAGACAGCTGGAGGGTTCAGTCTAGTATTTAATGTGAATGGTGTCTTCCCTCCTTCACTTCTCTTACTCAGCATCAGGTGTGTGACATAAAATCCACGACAGTCAGTGCTCTAAATAACTATCAGTGACAAAACCTAGGAACATACAACAAATGTGAAATCCAGCAATACACCTGACTGATCCAGGAATATGGCAGTAAGGGACGCCTGGGCTCTGGCCCTGTTCCTTTGTTAACAAACACTTTTGCTTTTCTGCCATGAATGAATATTGTATGGTTCATTTCTATGAGAGAGCGTACTCATTCCCTCTACTGCCAAAGAAGATATTTAAGCTTTTCTGTCTTTGGCAAGTGATTCAACAGGCTCGTCTCATTCTCTACTGGTTAATGGCTCTTCATGGCCCTGGTCCTAATCCCTCATTGCTTTCCTCAAACACTTGCTTAATTTTTCCAGCTGAGCAATGGCCTTGCTTCCTTGTCAGTGGCTAAGGAGTCCTTGAAATCCTTCCCATATTCTTGTTCTTCGCCTAGGTTTTGCATGGCACCGGCTGCCCATTGGCATGGATTCATTGAACAGGATGCCCTCATACCCTGAATTATTTAAATTATTCACTTGTCCTCTTTTCCTTTTGGTTTCTTTGTTTGTGCAGTTGAATTAATGAAACTGAAATGTGCCAAGGATGCAACTCCATGCTATTATTTGGGATCAGCCCATATGCGCCACACATTGGTTCTGTTATCTCAGCTCCAACACCATATTCCCCCCGTTTCCATTCTGACCCAGACAGGAACTAGAGAAGGCCAGAGCTACCTTCCATTCCTCTGGCCACACTTCTGGGACCAGGTTCTTTGCCCTTCCAGGCTTGGCTGATGCTCATCAGATTCTAAGCCTCTTGCTAACACACCAAAGCTTATGAGTGCTTGGTCTCCTGTCTGCTCTTTTATTGCCGGTGTCACTTCAATTATTTGGGGGCATGCGTGCCTGGAACATTAGGTGGAAACTGAAAGGCAGAGAAATCAATCCCACATGTACAAGTAGATAAAACTCAAAGCTCCTTTCACAAAGGATTTGTAAACTGTATTTTTAGAAATCCTGATGGTTTGTCGATCTCTTTCTCTATGTTTGAGAAACATGGTAGAAGGCTTGAGAGGCCCCTGGGGTCTTCATAGTGTCACCAAACATCTGTGACATCCCAGAAAGTAAACTTGCATGCATGGGTATATATATAGTCATGGTCGTGGAAGACATTCTATAACTTTCATCAGATTCTCAGAGGAGTCAGAACCCCCTAATTATACACCACTGTTCTACAGAGGTTTTCTTAACCAGTCTGGGAATGCCCCCACATCTAACTACCCCTGAAATCCCAGTGAAAAAAAAGTGAGACTGTTGATTTACTTACAAATAAAATTATTTAAAATAATCTCCTTTTATATTTTATATTTGTATATTTTACACATATTTTTATATATTTATATACAAATATAATTTTGTACTTTACATCTCTCTATATAATCACATTATAGAGATTAATATATACAAATTCATATATACATGTGTTTTTATATTGTATATCACATACAAATCCAAAACATTTACATACATAAATAAAATAGAGCTGAGGTTTGGTCATCCAGGGCCCCCTCTGCCTGTTTGGGTTTTGCTTGCATTTCTGGAGTGTGCTTCATGGGGCTGAGGCTCCGATGCTGTCTGCTGGGCAGACTTCTGTTTACTGAACCTCTCCCTACACCTGTGTAAGTGCGTTTATTGTTTCTTTGTGGAGAAGCTGCTGTAGGTTTGTACTGAACCTGCTGTTTGTGCTTCTGCTCAAGAAACTGTTTTCTCATATTACACACATACATTTTTGTTGCTGCTTTTGAGAAGAAAACCAGTTTCTTGTGACTTGAGGGGAGAAAAAAGTTAAAAACCTATTTCCCTGAGTTATACCTTGAAACGGTGTCTCCTCTGTTGAGAGAGCTCACTTCCTTCCAACATGTACATGGAATTTAGTATGCCTTTGAAGAAGAAAAGAAAGAGAGACAATTTGAGTTAACTATCAACCAAATGTCATTTAACTGATCTTTCATGTTTTTTTTTAATATGTAAGCAATGACCTTGAGCTCTTATTTGTTTTGTGTGTTGGGGAGGTGGGGTGGGCGGGGGGAGTATGGTGTGTGCTGTGTTGCCCATGATACTGAGATCTGCTGGCTGTGAAGAAGCAAGGCTGTGTTTGGGGCAATGCTTGACGTCTGAAGCCCCGGAAATCTAGAATGATGCCCAACTAAAAATGTGGTGGAATGCTCCTGAGTGTCTATCTCTTCATCTCTAACAGTGGAAAGAATAATAACGACTATTACGTAGGATTGCTAATAAAAGAATGGTCGCACAGTCCTGGCAAATGGTGGTGGTGACGTCTATGAATTTCAGAAATAGGTGTTCAATACCTGTGTAGTAATAAAATGCCAGTTGCATAGAAGAGTCGTGAGTCCTACTGCAACTGGTGACCAGAGGAAATCCAGCTGCTGTGGAGAAGACAAAATCCTTGATTTGGCTTCTTGGCAATTAAGTTTCATCTCCTTTGTTTGTTGCATGGACTCACTGTCTAACCTGATTCACCAGCTTGATGCTCTGTAGTGGGGATACACTTGAGAAATACATTAAACATATTCACCAAAGAGGCCAGTTTTTCAAGCTAATGTATAAAGAAGCTTCTGATTGTCTCAAATAATTTATCCCTATAACAATTCATCAAGGCTGGCACTCCACTTTTTTTTTGTTGGTGAAGTTGGAGATTGTAGCAAAAGATGTAAGACCTGTGGTTTTTATGAATCCTTAGAGAAAAATTCAACCACTGAATTGGTAGTTCATGGTAGAGTCACTGAATTTATTAAATTGTGCACATAGCTGTTAACGGCTCAGTGTCTTCAAAGTAATCTTTATAACTGGAGAATTAATCAACTCCTTCTGTTTCTCCTTTTGTTCTTTATTTTCTCTATTAGTTGGAAAGTGAGGCAAGTTTTCTTTGGCCTGTGACAGAAAGTTCCCCAGTGTCAGACTATGACTCAGATGTAATCTAGTACACGGGTCTGTTTTTGTGATTTCTTAAAAATGCTTTTTATTTTAAATGCTTGTCTTTGCAATAATTTTAGAGTTACAGAAAAGTTGCAGAATTAGTACAGAAAATTTCCACATACGTTTCACCCCACTTTTCCTAAAGCTAACATTATGTATAACCTTGCTATATCTGTCAAAACTAAGAAATCCACCTTGGCACAATGCCTTTAACTCAACTACCATCTTTTTTTTTTTTTTAAAGATTTTGTTGGGAAATGGGGAAGGGGAACAGACAAGTTGTTGTCCTTTTGTTCTTCAGTCTAGTTATGGAGGATGTTGCTTCACTGGCCCATATTGGTATTATGATCATTGCGCTTTTCTTGGTTGAAGGCAGTCAGTCGCCAGTCACTGGACAGCCGCTCACAGCGGCTCTTGGCAGCTCACACTGGCTGCCGGTCGCTCACAGTAGCTCATGGCAGCCCACTGAGCCCTGATGCAGCCTACGCCATCACCAGCGACTCATGGCAGCCCAGCTCCAGGCCAAGCTGTTGTTCATCATCTTAGCTGTGGAGGGCAGTGTCACTGGCCCTCATGTGGGATCCAAACTGGGGCCCTGCTGCTCAGAGCTGGCGTCCCAAGCCAGCTCTTAAACAGTGTGCCACTCGGCTGGCCCCTCAACTACCATCTTTATTTTGCCAGTTTTTCTACTGGTCCCCTATATTTGGTCCAGTATCCAATCCAGGATATCACACTGCCTGTGATTGTTCTATCTCCTTTGTCTTCTCTGATCCGTGAGAGTTTTTCAGTCTTTCCTTGTTTCCCAGGACCTTGACCGCTTTGAAAGTTCCAGTCAGATATTTTGTAGAATATCCCTCTATTTGGCTTCTTTGATGTTGTCTCATTATTAGACTGGGCTTAAGGGTTTGGGAGGAAACAATGCAGTGAAGTACCCCTTCTAAGGCACCATATCAGGGAACACATATCAACATGACTTATTACTGGTGGATTTAACCTAAATCATTTGGTGTCTACCAGGTTTCTCCACTGTCAAGTTACTGTCTTCCCCTTTCTCTAAGCTATCTTTTGGAGGCAGGTAACCAAGTCCAGTCTCGCAGGGGAATTAAGCTCCACCTCTTCAGAAAGGGAGAATCTACATCTATTACTTGAGATTCTTCTCTAAGAAAGATTTTCCCCCTTTCCTCTATGTGTTCATTTATTGCATCAATTATTTCTATCAGTGTGGATTCATGGATATTTGTTTTATTCTTTGGGCTACCACCCAGTATTATCGATATTGATTTGTTGTTCAAATTGTTCCAGCTTTGGCTACTGGGAGCTCTTTTAGCTTGGCTTGTATCCTTCTGACAAGCCCTGCTGTCCTTCTTTATTTCTTTCTTTCTTTTTTCTTATTTTTGAGGGGGCAGAGGCATTTCCTTACTATTCAGCCTTATAAGATGTTTTTGGTTCATCTTGTATTTTCCCTCCCCAACCATGGAATCAACCATTTCGCCAAAAAAGTACAGTGTTGGTGGGTTTTTTTTTAAACACAAACATTAGCCAGAAAGCTTGGATTTTAGTCCTAACCATGCCACAAGCTAGCTGACCAGCTGGAGCAAGTTTCTCAAACCCCCTGTTTCAATTTCCGCAGGCACAAAAGGTGGATGATACGAGTGCCTGTATCATAGGGCTGTGCTTTGTACTGACTCATGTAAAGGACCAAACACCACCTCTTGAGTGTAAGTTCTCATTGCCTCACTTCCTTTGCTGGCAGAGGTGGTATAAGGGGTACCAAGAAAAGGGGAAAGAAAAGAAATTCTGCAATTCTCTGAATGGTAGTGCTGTGAGAATTGTTGCAGGAAGGAAAGGCAAATGTGTATCTGGAATATGTATTACTGTGAAAAAATAATGTTATTCTCGCCATGATATAAGGACCCTAATGTAATCAATTTACTGCCAGGTTTTACTGGAAGGTCCCCCAAGGGCATGGTCCCATGTTGGGGACTCAATGTTGGCTTCTGCTATGGAAAAAGAGCTCTTAGCAGGGGCACTTGTCAACTGAGGCTGAGTGGAGGAAGGGAGGGTCCTTGTTTTTTGAGCCATCTCTACTGTCAAAGCAACTTTGTTCATAGGCCCTCTGAGCAAACAGTAGTATAAATGGGATAAGAGACAGGCTGGCATTTGCAGGACAGATAACCTTGCCTGATTGTCAACAGCCTCCTCCAGTATGGATACCTTCTGAGGGACATTTTGTACAATATGAATAACCTCACATTCTGCTACCAGTTGACTGGCTTGCCTCCCAAAGCAATGGTGCCATGTGGGCAGCCTCACTCCCACACACTCCAGGTCTGCACAGTGATTGCCCTGTTGGGGTTCACCAGGGCTTTCATAATGATCGCTATCTGCCCCAGACATGTCACGTGTCATCAGATTTGCAGAACCATGAGAACCACATGGAGATCAGCCTCCAGGGGCACATCTTATGGGGAAGAGTGGACAGCAGATCTGTAGGGACAAATGGAGACCATGCAGCATAGAACACCCCCTCTAAAGAAACTCTTCCACCCCTCACAGTGACTCTCCTCCACACACCTAGTTTAATTCCATCATAGCACTTATAATGATCAGAATTGATCTTGTCTATTTATTTACTTGTTATTGTCTGCTTCTCCTACTAGAATGTAAACTCCATGTAGGCAAATTATCTCTCTTTCATTTCTGTATCCCCTGAGCATGGGATAATGCACGGCACTCAATAAATACTAGTTGCATCCATGATTCATTATAAGGTCTCTTCTAGCTCTAATAGTCTATCATTCACTTAAGCCAATAAGCATTCAGTAATTACGAGATGGTCTTATGATGGGATATTTTATTTCAACTCATCCTACAGTCTGCAGAGCTCAGTAGTTCTAGAAGGCTATTATTTACCATCAGTCTAGAAAATCTCTTTTAATGAGACAGTCATCTGTGGAGTAGAACAGCTATGAACTTTGGAATCAGGTATACATCTGAGTAATGATGACCCACTATGAAGTTATAAAGTGTTCCTCAAATGTTTGCCCTATATGGACACACACACACACACACACACACCCCCCCCACACACACACCCAGCATGGCATTTGTAGTCACAGAATTCAGGGAGGGCGCATGCATACCCCTTTGACCTTATGAGAATGGGCCTTTGTAAGCAGGGAAAGGACCTGGTCTTGGTCCAATGCAGCACTGGTAAATTCCTCGGCCCAAGATCAGCAACAGGGACATAGTGTTCTGTCTGACCCTTGTGTCTGGGTTATCTTAACTCTCCAGTTCCCATGTCCACTTGACCCCAGTCAGTGTCACAGGGACAGCAACCAGTCTTCATCTGTTGGATGGCCTGAGGGCCAGTCAATAGTGGATATCCTCAACCCTTCCTGCTGGGTAGCAACAGAAGCGATTGTAGACAAGACTGAGCTAGCCAAAGGGTCACAGGCTGGGGGCCATTTAAAGGGGTAGTCTTTATGTTTTAACCATAAAAAGACCAAATGTAATTCGTGAGTTTTTTTGTTTCTGATTTTTTTAAAAAGCCTTATAACTTTTTAAAAACAATTGGGAACATCTGAATATGGGTTGGGTTTTAGATGATGGGTGATACTGGAGACTTTCTAATACTTTTAGGTGTGAGAAATCGTATTGTCATGTAGAAAAAAGCTCTTAGTGCTAAGTGGTGTTTAGGAGAAAAGTATCAAAAAATACATTTAAATGTTTCAGGGGAACAAAAAATACACTAATATACATATAAGAATAAAGCAAATTTGACAAAATTATTGAAGCTAGTTGTGGGTACCCAGATTATCACTGACCTCTTCTTTCAAATAATTTGAACACTTTCATATAAAGTTGTTAAAATAAAAAGCACACTCAGACACCAGAACTCAAGCTCTGGCATTTGCTAGCTGTGTGATACTGGGCAAATTAC